AGTGCAACTTTGCACTGCTCTAGCCACCTGCCTCAGTTGCAGGACTGGAGCCATTGGCAGGAAACGTCATCATGTGGGTCCCTGTAAACTCTATCGTGCGGGATCACAGCTGGTTGATCCCAATTGCCTGCTCCTGCAAACATGCCGCTGCCAAGATTGAAGCGTGGGTTGAGACCTCTCTGAAAATGTGGCAGGGATTCCAGTGGGGAGGGGGAGCTGCAAACAGGAGCCGGGTGCACTCCAAAGCAGCTCTGCCAGCAGATGCTGAATCAGCACATCACCTGGGCTTTCTGGCCATTCACAACCCTTGCCCCATGAGCAGCACAAGTTGAGGAGCTGGGCTGGTCACTCCCAGGCACCCCAGTACCATAGGGGTTGCTAGTGCCTTTCCCTGCTGAAGCTTACATCTTGCGGGACTTTGCCCCACTATCAGCCTTGGCTTAATGGAACCCAGGGCAGATGTAACCCATCATGTATTGATGGATGCAGCACGCAGCCCTGGACACTGCTGTTGCCAGGCAGCACCTGGCAGACTGAAGAGCCGGGAAGCAGGACCAGCTCTGAGTGAGGTTTTGAGAATAATCCTAACCTGTGACAGGGGAGTGTTTACCGCAAACGAAACAGGGATTCACACCCTATGAAGACAATTCCAGGAGTTCAGCGACATGCTGCACAGCTGACGGAAACAAAAGTCTCCTGAGGATTAAGCAATCAGGAGCTACAGGCAGGTTCAAGGCCCCACTTTGCCCAAACAGCAACGATCAGGACAGCTCCTGGAAAACAGCTACATCCCATTAGGTCTCAGGCGATGGCCACCTGTGCACCAGCAGCTAGCCAGAGAGCAGCAGCCCTTTCCACACATTGCATTGCAGCAGTCAGCCTGCACTCAGACAGAGAGCCGCGCTGACGGAGGGACTGCTTGCCTGGACCCCCTGCGGTTGTACCCTGGAGTCTTTGAACAGCCATGTACATGACCATATTATAGGGCTGCTGTGATTTGCCACAAACCCACTCGCCCTAAAAAGCAAACAAACAAAAACCTTTTTCTTTCTGGAGAATCCCAGTGAAATTAAGACCACCTCCCACCGCACACACAAAGTGTGTATGCAATGCCACAGTAAACCCACAGCATGCGATCCTCTTTGCAAGAGTGTTTGTCCCTCAGACACATTGTCTGAAGTGAAACATCTGCAGTGCTGTGAAGAAGACCCAGAAACACAGTGACTGTGTCCCAAGCCAACTGACTAGTTAGGCTGATTCCTCTTCTCCGTGGACCTTTAGATACCAACTCACTTTGACCAGTTTATTTGCTTTACCAGCATGTATTCTATTCTATTCAGGTTCTTATCTGCCCATAGTAACTGAGCATCTTCCAGTCATGCATTAAGCTCTCTCCAGGACAGTACATTTGTACATATTAAGTCCATTTTCCTTTAAGGGAATAATATGCCCGCTTATTTCTTAAACACACTGGATTAGAAAAAATAGTAAAACAAGTTTATAAACTACAAAGAGAGATTTTAAGTGAGTGCAAGTAATGAGGCATAAAAGTTAAAAATGGTTACAAGAAATATAAAGATAAAACATTTACTAGAGCCTAACTTAACAAAGTTCCTTACCACGTGCCCCAGCAGACTACTCACCAAACTCTCAGGTCAAGACCGCTCACCAACAGAAGTTGGTCCAATAAAAGATTACCTCCCCCACCTTGTCTCACCAACACCACTGATCATTCTCACTCACACTTAGTGCCCTTACCAGGTAGGGGAGCCGACTGATGGGATATGAATAGTGCCCAGTACATCTGTATCAGAACAGCCAACTATCACTGCTGCATTATAACCAGAGAACAGGCATTCTCTCCACTCCAGATCCAGAGAAAGGGACAAGGACAGAAGCGTACATGAATAAATGATACACCCACTTACAGACATTCCCATGAATAAATGATGCTGCACTTCACCTCCTTTACTTATTTTTTAAAGATACATTTATTTTCAAAATGTGAAATATTTATGCCTATCCCAGCAGATAAAAATGCTAAAGTTTACACAGACAGCACTGCCTGTGTCTAGGCAGAGGATACAGAAATGCTGACCTGCCATGAGCTCTTCAGATGACTGTGGATATACTGGCTCAGCTCCCAAGTTCAGATGTGCTTGTCTAAAACTGGTGTAACCTCTGTGAAGATATTGTGGATTTACAGCATTGAAACTGGGTCCAGACTCTGGATCATTTAGTGTATAACAAAGACTACCCATTCATAGCATCTTTTAGCTTTTAGCTCAGAATTCTCACTGAAATGGAGAGTGAAGGTGTGATGTTACACTCCATATTCTTTATGGAAATATGCTTATGATATGGATATGACATAAATGAGATGTACTTTATGCAAGATGGGTCTTGAAAGCTATCATTGGAAAGGTTATAATTTACTGAATGTGTTTATCCAGTTTGTATGCATGTATCATGTTTGTAGCTGAAGCTAGGAATATTGACCATGTCTCTGTATTTCAAATGTGCTACATTGGATGAGGCCAAATAATGTTTGTGGCTTATTGAAGAAATGCACACAAGCATAAGGATTACCCCAGGAACTGTGTGCAATAGAAACCTCTCACAGATAGCTCTACACAGTGGGAACTGTTTGACCCAGGTCACAGCAAAAAAGCTTTCCAGCAAGTGAGGGGAAGATATAAAAGGGAGACAATGACAACATGAGGGGGCCTCACTCTCCCTACAACACACCTGGAAACACCTGAGGAACAAAGACTGAACTGTGTGAAGTAATGGTTCCAGGCTGGAAGGATTTTTAGAAAGAAAGTAAGAAAACCTGTGAAAGCCAAGGCAACTTGGGCCAGCCTGTTTATCACCCAGGGTGAGAATTTGCTAATTTGTATCCTACCTATCTAGTGTGTTAAACTCAGTTTGCGGCTTTTGTTTATTTACTAAGGTAATCTGTTTTGTTCTGTTTGCTATCTCTTTAACCACTTAAAATCTACCTTTTGTAGTTAATAAACTTATTTTGTTTATTATTAAACCCAGTTTATGTAATTTCTAACTGGGAGGGGAGCAAGAAGTTGTGCACATCTCTCTTCACATTGAGGAAGAGGGTGGCTTTTTATGAGCTTGCGCTGTGCAGATTTTTCTATACTGTTCAAGACAGTATTATTTTGGGCTTATCTCCCAAAAGGGGTGTGCACGTGAATGCTGGGAGAGTCCTCTAACACAGAACTGACTTCAGTCTGTGTGTGTGTGTGTGTGTGTCAAGAGGCCAGAGAGCATAATTCAGCAAAACAGGGAGTTGGAACCCAGGTCGGTGGAGCAGGAGACGCTCAGTGAAATCCCAGCACATCAGGTGGCATCCCAGAAGGGGGGTCCAACCTGTCACAAAGGGATTAAAAAAAGAGACCTATCTATATTTGCAAAAACACTGAGGAGTGTTTAGGAAAAAGATCTCTAAGCAATGCTGAAGTCCTGAGCCCTGGCAGGCGCACCCCAGCTTTCGAACTTCGGAAGATTGTCGTATGTGGCTTGGAGGGTCAGTAAATTTGTCTACCCCTGGTGTAAGGTATTTCAAACATGAAAGCTACGGTATTTTTCAAAATATTAATTGCATGCCCAGTGCCAGACTTCAAAACTAGTTTACAGAATAGAACTGGGAGAATAATGGATTTTTTGATGTGCTGGCAATGCCAAAAGAAGCAGACAAATTTTAGTTTTGGATCCAGCCAAAAAGTAATTTAAAAAAAAATTTCAGCTAATCGAAAAAGTCACAAAAATTTCAAGTTGGGTCAAAACAAAACATTTCCTTTAATACAATCATAGTAGCGTAGGACTGGAAATGACCTCAATATGTCATCTAGTCCAGTCCCCTGCACTCAAGGCAGGACTACATAATAATTAGACCATTCCTGATAGATGTTTGTCTCACCTGTTTATACAAAAAACTACGACGGAGATTCCACAACCTCCCTAGGTAATTTGTTCCTGTGCTTAACTACCCTGATAGTTAGAACATTTTTCCTAATTTTTCCAACCTAAACCTCCCTTACTGCAATTTTAAGCCCATTGCTTTTTGTCCTACTTTCAGAGGTTAACTAAAACAATTTTTCACCCTCCTTGTAACAACCTTTTATGTACTTGAAAACTGTTATCATGTTGTCCCCTCTCAGTCTTCTCCTCTCCAGACTAAACAAACACAGTTTTTTCAATCTTTCCTCATAGGTCATGTTTTCTAGACCTTTCATCATTTTTTTGCTCTTCTCTGGACTTTCTCCAATTTGTCCACATCTTTCCTGAAATGCGATGCCCAGAACTGGACACAGTGCTCCTGCTGAGCTCTTATCAGCGCTGAGTAGAGCGGAAGAATTACTATTCATGTCTTGCTTACAACACTCCTGCTAATACATCCCAGAATGATGTTCACTTTTCTTGCAACAGTGTTACAACTGTTGACTCACATTTAGCTTGTGATCCACTAAAACCCCCAGGTCCCTTTCCGCAGTGCTCCGTCCTAGGCAGCCATTTCCCATTTTGTAGGTGTGCAATGGATTGTCCCTTCCTGTCCTCTCATTCTAATCCTGTCCTCTAACGTTCTTGCTGCTTCTCCCAGCTGTGTTATCCACACATTTCGTAAGCACACTTTTCCCTCCATTAATGAAAATATTGAATATTACCGGATCCAGGGTCCCATTAAATGCATCCCCAGGGTGTGGCAGCAAACCATTGATAACTATCTTTGAGTACGGTCTTTCAACTAGTTTTGCACCCACCTTATTAGGGTAATTTCTTCTAGACCAGGGGTTCTCAACCTTCTTCTCTCTGAGGCGCTCCCAAAAATGCTGTAAAAACTCCAAGGCCCACCTATGCCACAGCAACTGGTTTTCTGCATATCCAGTAGATTAAAAACTGCATTAAAATGGATCGTTATATCGTTAAATACACACACGTATAAAATATTTAAAAAGGGACAATATAGGCACAAAAATAAACTGAATATTATTATTTTTATTTACTTAGTGTGCAACTTGCTGTTGGTGCTGATCAACAATTCTGTCCAGACGAGGGGGTATCTTTGACAAGCACAAGTGCACGTCACGGTCAATGTTCATTCTGGTTCGGTACTTTGTTTTCCTTGTTGGCATGGCTGAAAATCCAGTTTCGCATAAGTAGGTGGCTCCAAAGGGGATCAAACTTTTCAGTGCTGCAGAAGAAGCAGTGATGTATTCACTGGAACACTCACACCAAAATGTCTCCAGCGGCATTTCTTTGCACCTGGTTCTGAGGGAGCTGTCTGAGGAAATGTCAATGAGCTCTTCTAACAGTTTTGATGGGACATTAGATGGAAGTTTAGCTTCAGTGTTCTCACTCAAGGGGTTTGTAGTGCACACGCATGTAGCAGCTTGTTCTGTTGTGAGTTCAGGAAAATAAGCATTCAATTTGCTAAGCAGACCGGGCAGCTGCGCTGCTAGCTGAGGTTTAATTACGTCAAAGTCCATGTTTCGTTCCTGAATGAAAGAATGTAAGAGCTCACACGTATCAGTAGTGCCCCCACAGACATGAACTTTCCAGAGTTGTTTTCTTTTGAGTGCCTCAATTCTTTCACGCTGGGCAATAAAATTAGTGTTCCTAACTTTTATTCAGATTATTCATTTCACTGAATAGGTCTGTGAGGTAACCCAGTTTTGCCAGCCACACATCAGCTTTCAGCACTTCAGCAAGTTCACTTTTCTTATCAACTAAGAAAGTACATAACTCTTCCTTGAGATTAAATATACAGGCAAGCATTCTTCCTCAAAATAGCCACCTCACCTCTGTATGCATAAGCAAGAAATGATGCTCTGTACCCACCTCCTCACAAAGTGCAGCAAAACACCTGGAGTTTGTTGCTCTGGATTTAATAAAATTAATGAGCATTACCGCTGCGAAGACCTGGTGCAGTATCTTCTGCAGCAAGCGCATCTCAGTGAAAAAAGCAATGTGTCAAAATAGTGTGAGGTGCAAAGGCTTTTATTTTTTGCACAACACCAGAATGCTTTCCGGTCTTCAGCTCTTTGCAAAACAAAAAGTCTTCCTTTATTTCCTTATTCCACACATACCGAACATAGGCAAATAAATGGGACATTTTTGAAATGTCTCTGGATTCATCTACCTGTATAGCAAATCCATTGTCACACAGCTGATCAATACACTGAGAAAGTATGTCTTCTGACATAGAAATGATCCATCATTTGACATGGGTATTTTTGTCAGTACCTTGGCCTTCTCCTCTCCAAACACTTCCTTTGTTATTTCAATAATACATGGCATTATCAAAATCTCAGCAGTCGTATGTGATTTTTTTATTTTAGCAATTTTCTGCACCACTATATAAGATGACCTTAAAAGCTTCTTATCTGCAGTAGTTGTGGATTTCATTATTGCTTTAGTACCAAGCCATTCCTCGGCCTTTCGCTCAAAAACAAAAGAAAAAAAGGAAAAAAAAAATGCTGCTTATCCTTATAGATGTTGTGCTTTGTAGTTAAATGAATTTGTAATTGTAGGGTTTCAAACATTCATTGGACAGTACTTTAGCACTAATTACATACTGCGGTTGAGGTATTTCTCCACTTCCAGAACAAATAAAACCAAAATTCAAATAGCTGTCTTCGTATTTCCTAAATGTTGCAAGGTTAATAACGGCTTTATGGTTCTTACTCACATCACCTCTTCAGTGTTCTTCAGCCCTTACTGTGGTTGAACCTGTTGAAGGAAGTTCAGTATCATCACTCAGTGGGTTTTGTTGTTTTGAAGCTGATGGTCACATTAAAAATGTATCCATATCTGATATTTATTGTTTATGCTTAAAAAACTTCCCCCCTGTGCTGTGTAACTTGTCCTGCTCCTGTTGAAATAGCTCCTTTAAACCCAGTAAACAGAGCTAGGTAACCTGCAAGGCTGGTGTCAGACTCACTGGGCCGAGGACAGAAATCAAGAAATGAGCCCTCACATGCAAAGTCTCTTGCGCAGAGCCAGAGCTGGGCCAGAAGGTGTTGAGGCTGACCTACAGGTTTGGTGATCCCCACCCCAGGGGCTGACCCAGAAGTCTGAGCCCCACCTTCCAGGGATGAAGCGGGAAATGGCAGACTCCCGGCTTCAGCCCCTCCACAGCACCAGTGCTCGGGGCTTCAGTCCTCAGTTCCTGGCTTCAGCCCCATGGCAGCACCGAGGCTTGGGGCTTCAGCCTGGTGCTCAGTGCTTCAGCCCCACAGAGGCGGAACCGGGACTCAGGGTTGCAGCCCCGCAACTCCCAGCTTCAGCCCCATGGCAGCACCAGGGCTGGGGGCTTCAGCCCCGTGGCTCCCAGTTTTAGCCCTGAGGGGGGCGTTGGGGCATCTGATTTCAGCTCCAGTGCCCCATGGATCCCATGAAAGGGCTTGTGGATCCCCAGAGGGCCACGGACCCCTGGTTGAGAATCACTGATCTAGACCATATTTCCCTAGTTTACTTGAGTCTGTCATGTGCAACTGTTAAAAGCCCTACTGGAAATCAAGATAGATCATGTCTACAGCTTCCCCCTATGCACTAGGGCCAGTAACCTTGTCAAAAAAAGAAAGAAATTAGATTGGTTTCGTGTGATTTGTTCTTCACAAATCCATGTTGGCTATTCCTCATACCCCTGTTATCCGCTAAGTGCTTACAAATTAATTGTTTAATCATTTGTTCTGGTATCTTTCCAGGTACCGAAGTTAAGCTGACTGATCGGTTGATAATTCCTCAGATCCTCTTTGTTCCCTTTTTTAGAGACAGGTACAATCCAGTCCTTTTTCAGTCCTCTAGGACCTCACTCAACCACCAGGAGTTCTCAACGATAATTGCCAATTGCTTCAGCTGGTTCCTTAAGTACCCTAGAGTGAGTTTCAAGAGGTCCTGTTGATTTGAATACACCTAATTTATATAAATATTCTTTAATCTGTTCTTTCGCAGTTCTGGCTTGTGTTCCTTCCCCCTTGTGGTTAATATTGTGTTAAGCATCTGATCACAATTTACCTTTTTAGTGAAGACTGTAGCAAAATAGGAATTATAAAGCTCACCCTTCTTGATGTCATCTGTTATTAGCTCTCCTGTCCTTTGTCTTTCTGTTGCTCCTAATGTATTTATAGAACCTCTTCTTATTCTCTTTTATGTCCTTGGCTAGGTGTAACTGACCAAATTCTCAGGTCAGGACCACTCAGCAACATAAAACAGATTGTTATGAATGGGAGTGCTTCCAACTGACCTGAACTGGAGAGAGTTGGGCCATTGGGAGCAGGCCATTGAAACAGGCCAATGACCGATTTAATCCAGTGTCATGTCTCCAATAGTGGCCATTTCTGGATGTTTGGGAGGGAATCTGAAGCCACCTTCATTGCACACCTGTTTGTGCAATACTCTTGTACAGAGGAAATCTGCTGCTGCACCAGATGATCACCTGATGCCCTATAAGTAGTATGAAGAGTGAAAGTTTCATGTATTTTATCCTAACTAATGTCACTCACTGTTCATAGGAATTTCTTCTTCATAAGAGCTTAAGCCTCTTTTAAAACTGTACTCAGTAATACATTAATATGCAGCACTGAGTTCTACAGGCTAATTTACACACTGTATTATAATATCATTATCTTTTTTTGAACACTTCATGTTCCTGTAAATGGAACCCTGGGGCAGATATTTTTCCATCATCCCATGGTGAGGGCAGATTCAAAGACATTTGCGTGTTTGGACTAAGAGCCCACAGTTGAGTTAAAAAAACGTCCCATGTTATGAAGAGTAAGAGATTAATTCAATTGAGATGAGCAGAGACTGCAAGAGCAAATGGAGGGAGAGATGGTTTGTTCGTCAGAGTCCCTGGGATGTGGCACTGTGGTTAGCTGCTTGCAGGAGAAGCCTTGTGCGACTGGACCATTCCATGGGTCCAGGACTCATTCAGTTTTATTGCAGTCTCCTTTTCCCCCTCACCTGCCCCCTTTGCCTTGCAGAGGTTTATGCACTGCAGTCAGTCTCCCATCCCTTCTGCTCCTGATGCACTTACACAACGCCTCCTTTGCTTGTATTTCTTGCCCATTTGCTGTTCAGGTTTCCTCTTAGCCCAACTAATATAGAGCTGGGGGAAAAAATCATTCAAAACTTTTTTGGGGGGGAAAAATGCAGATTTGGCAACACCAAAACATTTTGCAAATTAGTGTCAGTTTCACCGAATTGTTTCGGTCCAAAAAACAAATAGAAATGTTTCATTTTGGCTTTTTTTAAAAAACAACAACAACAAATGTTTTGACTCATTGGGCTCAAAACGACTTTTCGTTCAAAAAATTCGGTTAGTTTTATTTTGAAAATCAAAAGTGTTTAAAAAAAGGTCAAGATTGAAATGAAACCCTCAAGACTTGACCCCTAAAGATTTGTTTCAGTTTTTTAGAATTGCCAGTTAACTGAAAAATCTGCTGTTTGCACAGCTCTACACCACGGTCACCAGCGCTACCTGGCAGCAACAACCCTCCTCCATCCTGCCCTGGGGACTGGTGGAGGAGCCCCCTAGCCCCGCGGGAGATGCAGGACAGGGTTGTGTCTCAAGAAGGTGCAGTGCTCTCTGGCTAGGGTGACCATATTTCTTAATGCAAAAATGGGATGGCCGGGGGTTTGCCTGAGCGGCCACAGCCCCCCACCCCCACGCACAGGGCTCACCAGAGCCACCCTCCCTATGCCGTTGGGACTGATTTAGATCAGGCCTTGCATTTCCGAACATGACTTCGCAAGGATATTCCCTAAGGACAGGTTATAAATTGCAGATGTCATACCACTGGCCCTCAGCTTGCCCAAGGCATCGCTGCTGTCAAGCAACAGACTGACAGCAAGACCGCTCACATCCTAGTGGCACAGATATAAGGCATTTACTACAGCTGCTGCCTAGAGGACAATGTATCACAGATCCTTCCGTATTCGGCTGTCTGCTGCTGGGAGGGTACTTGCACTGTTTCTTTAAATTTGGAGATGCGAGGCTAGGCTGGAGAAGGCTCTGCAGTGAAATAGAGCAGCTTTAGGGATAATTCCATTTCTCTCATTGTAATAAAGTTCTTTGTTCCATGACAGATGAGAGTGGCTTTTCTGGTGACTATTAACCATTGGCACAGGGCACAGGCTAGCCTTCCAGCCCTCAAGGAGAGTTCCAGCCTGGGCAGTTCTCAGCTCTGGGCTCGGGTCCTAACAAACAGAGCAGCGGAAAACGGGGGGCTTGTTAACCAGCACCACTGAATTACTCTGAGGCCATTCCCTCAGCGCCAGTCATCCCAAACACACAGAGCTTTAGCCACAAGGACCAAAACATTCCAACCATGGCATCCATAGAGCGATCGACGTTTTTTGTCTGGCACATTTTGTCCAAAGAAAAATGCCTTTTCAACCCAATCAAACGCCCGCGTGGAAAATGTTCATTATAGTCAAACATTTCCAACTTTACAAACAAAAACCGGAAATGACAAACAAAGGAGCCAATTTTTTCTTTCAGCAGAAACAATTTTTTTTTACTGAAATCTGTATTTGAACCCCGATGTGTTCAGTTTAGGGCTTTTCTGTTGACAAAACAAAACACAACATGGGAAATTTTTATTTTTTAAAAACAATTTCCCGGTAAATATTAACTCAAATTTTCCAATCAGCTCTAACAAAAATCCTGTATTACCTACCCTCCTCTGCCACCACCACCAGACAGGAATTAATAAATCAGTATTAGGTCAAAGGTGCTTTGACCATATAAAATGCTGTGTAGAGTTATTACTATTCTCCAAATAGTACAAAGATGTTCCAATAACCTCATCTCAGGCTTAACCCAGGCTCCTGCATACTTAGTCCAGCCTCCAATAAAGTCCAGTGTAAGCATCTTTATAACATATCCCTCATTATAGCACCCAGAATATGTCTCCTCATACCATAAAAAGGGGCCACTTTTCACCCCTTCTCTCAATAGCTATTGTATCTTTGAAATAAACGAGATCCATGTAGCGTTCATCTGAATCACTGTTTGCCAAGTAAAAATAACACCCAGTAATAGTGCATAGGACTGAATAGAAAGAGAATTCAGTGTCATACTAATGTGGCTTAATAGTGCCTCTTTCTGTGACCCACCTGTGAGCTGTGACAGCTCTGGTGTTGTCATGCATTGCTTATATCTGAGCAGCTATGTAGTGAAGGATTTGTCAGTGTTTCAAATAGATGGATAGATCCCAGACCCTTATAGAGGAATATTCTGCACTCTGTCAATATGCAGGCTGCAGAGTGTCATAACAGCCACCTAGCATTGCCCCGTCACTCCCTGCCCTGCACACACACGCAAACATATTTAAAGGAAATCTTGAAAACAGGAAAGCGTTTGTAAATGGAATTGGCTCTATGTGCGGATCGTACCGTGTGAAGGATCAAAGCTGCATTCCTGAATTGGCTGTGTTAGGGGGCATTTAAGGTTATCTGCAGGCAACACTTCTTTTTAACAGACTTTAGTGAAGAAACTTGTCCAATAGCGTAACAGGCCGCTGCAGCCAATGACTGGGCTGCTGCTATTAAGTGCATTGTACTGGTGCCCTAGGTAATGAGTACAGTACAAAGATGTGGCCTGCAGCCATGCAACTTAGAGCTGTGCTCTCAGCACTTCTTGCCAGTGAACAGGAGGAGGGCCATGGAAGGAGGAGGCTGTGTTCACGGGGCTGGTGTTTGTTCACGTAGAGTTCATTGATATTCATCTCCTAGGAGCAGGTTTGAAACAACGTTACCCCAAGTGTTTGAGGCAATGTGGAAGTTACAGCAGGAGGGTCCGTTCCAAGCCGGGGCCCGTAGGGAGGTTGTCAGTGGGGTTCCTGCCTGGCGGACCAACAGCACCGCTATGAGGGATTGAGGCTTAGTTCCCACCCCTCTCTCAGAGATCTGGGCCTAAGTCCAGGCTGCAGGCAGGCACCTAGCCCTGCTTGCAATTCCCAGCAGGGAATGCGCTTTGGCATTCGGGTGCCTTTTGAGCATTCAGACCTCACCGTACAGTTTCAATGAAAGTCGATATTCTCGGCAATCACATGACTTCAGGAGCCAGGGCTGGAAAAAAAGCACCAAATATCATGAGACTTGCAAGAGCTGGCAACTCTGGGGAGAGCAAGAGGGGATTTTACCAACCTGCACATGACAACTGCCTGCAAGAACCCTGCTGCTGGAGGAACTGACATGACCACAAATACACACAGGGAACAAACTCACACACAGTTAGTATGAGCAATGGCACCAGCTTGGCCTTGCTAACAGTGAGGTCCTTCACTAATACTGGCTTCTGGCTGGAGCCGAGAGCCCAACAGCGCTCCCGGCTGTGCTGAGAACCCACTTGGTCTGAGCACCTGCACAAGGGCGGGACACTTAGCTGAACAGCACTGTGGGTAAACTCTTACCCCAGTAAAGGCAATGGGAGTTTCACCACTGCCTTCAAAGGGGGCAGGATTTCACCCTATAACTCTAGCCCTTCTAGTAGGCAGGAGACTGGTATGTGGTGATGGGAGGGGTCATGGAAATATTGCTGGTGTGCAGGGCTAAGCACTAGTGTTAGGATGATACCATCAGAAGTCATCCTTCCCCTGTTGTCGTCCGTCTTTCTTTCAGCAAGCGGCTTAAAAAAACCCCTCCATGCCTCAATTTCCCTCTTTGTAAAATGGGGATTACACTTCCGTTCCTCAGGTCCCCATTCAACAATGTACTGAAGCACCTGCCTAATTCCCTTAAGTACCTGCCTGAACTGGGGCCCTTGGGTAGTGCCGAGGTTTACATAATGAACAGCTGCAGGGTGCTCTGATCCTGCTGGCATGGCTGCCACAGACACCTCCGTAACAAGAGGGTCTCAGTAGAGTTTTCTTTCCTATTTCCTTTTGTACAGAAAATGCTTGCAGGTTGTTTAGCTCCAGCAGACTGAGCAGGACCAGGCTTTACAGAGCTGTCATGACAGAAAAAGGAAAGGCAAAAGAACAGTAGATCTAAAACAAACAAACGAGTCTATAAGTTCTATGAACAAGTGGGGCTGTTTTAATGTGGTTTGACACACAGTACTCTAATTCAAGCATTAGAAAACACCCTGGGATCGATTTAGAACGAAACATTATCCACCGGAAAAGGAGACTTTTATTCCTTTTATTATTGACATCAGCACTGCTGCATCACCTCTCAAGTACAGGGAACTCAGTTGTAAAACTTCTATTGGAGTTAAAGCAAAAATAGATCAGCAGTCAGCTAAATTCTCCCTGGAAGCTTGAGTGTTTAATTTATAGAAGGAGCTTGAGGGGAAAGCCATTCTCTCTTACAAGCTGTGTTTATAACAATACAAGTTACTTGTTCTCCCATAAAAGTCTTTACATGAATCATTGTATGACCCGTGTCCTGTTCCCCCTGCAGTGGGAGGGACACACATTTTTAAATAAAGCTCCCCC